GGGCCAGATTTTTAAAGCTGTTTAGGTGCCTAAAGATGCAGATAGGCCCCTCATGGGGTTTTGAACAGCACCTAACTCCTCTCGTAGCCTAAGCACTTTGAAAAATGCCTCTGGATGCCTCGTTGTCTCTTTCACCACCTAGGTAGCGTTAAACATCTGGTCCTAAGTGACTTTGCCTTGGCTACAGCAGGTCAGTGGCTGAGCTAGGAATAGAATCCATCTCCCCTGACTTCTAGTCACATGCCCCCTCCACTGAACTACTCCATTGCCTTCTATGACTGATGAGAGAGTCTCCTCCCCCTTACCATAGACTGAATCACGAACAACGTGTGGGGGGAAATATGTGAAATGGGGACAGTGGAAAAAATTCAGCATGAGGATTCGAAGACCTCGTATGTGCTCTCAGCCTATTCCTTCTTTAATCTCTTGCATTTCCATAGAGTCTTACTCCAGAGGCTCTCACAGTGCTTTATGTTTCACTGCTGTCTTGTGAGAGGGTGAAGTATTAATAACCTTGTTCCATATGTAACACCGGCAGATCCCAGTCATCGGTGGGTGGAATCAAACCTGAGACTTCTGGAGCTAAATGCATGAGCCTCTTCTGCATGAGCTAACAGCCACAGGGCCCTTAGGGAAGGCAGTAGAGCGGACGCATTCATCGCTACGTGGTCTTGGTGCCACGAGAGGGGACAGAGCACCACACCCAAGAGGTGTGTAGGTTACATGTGGATTATGAAAATGAAGCACACAGAACTTGCCCATGGTCACACTGAGTCTGTGTCAGGAAAAGATCCCAGATCTCCTGACTCCCAATCCGGCGACTTATTTTAATTAAGGGCGGTGTTTGAAATAATAATTAAAAATATGATAAGCTGCTCGTTTGTGAAAATCCCTATTTCTCATTCCATTTTCATAGCTGAAAATCATTTTCCATCTTTGGATCTGACATAAAAAGAGATGAGGGCATACTGCATGAACAATTAGTGGTTGGTCCAAAAGGCAAGTAAAGGGTTAAAAGATTGTGGGGGGGGGGGTCCTATTTTAAAAATAGCAAAGATTATCTGACTGTACTTTGAAGAGGGTATGTGAATGAAATAAGCTGCCCAGATTTGCTGCCTGGAATACGGGGACAGCGCACTGAGGGGGCAGGACATGAACCCAGAGGATTTGCAATGATTTACCTTCTGCTCCGATAAGCCGAGATCACAGCTTCTTGCCTAAAACATTATTGTGGATCCTGCGTCAGTCTGTTCCTCTAAGGCCCCAGTCCTGCCACGAGCTCCATGTGGATGTGTCTGTGTGGCGCTCATTACAGGCCCAAGGACCTAGTGAGCGTGGCCAGTTACTGAGATCCCAGACCGTGCTGATAATAAGAGATTACATGAAGCTAGCTGATATACACAGCAAATTCATAGCACACGTGGTGTGGTTTGCTCCTTGGAAGGGCCAGTGTTTCTCACCCCTCCCCTCCTCATGTTCCAGTCTCAGCCTCAATCTTGACATCAGGCTCCCCCCATGTGAGGGACAGGGGTAATTCCCTCTGGAGCCTTCGCACCCCCCTTGAATCAGCCATTCGAGATCAGCACGAGAATTCCTGCTGAGTCGATTTCTCAGCGCTCACCCTCCCGCCTGACCTGGGGGCTTTAGCCGTCGTATAAGGTAAATATCCCCATGCATGCCAACTGCTGGTAAAGCAATTACAGCCACAGAAGTAACACACTGTTTGTTTTCAGACAGAGTTTTTTTAAGGCCTTTGTGTTTGGCTGGTGAATTGCTTTTGGAATAAGCTCCTTTACGCCACAGCATTCACTCACTCTTACAATTCCCAGTGGCCATAATCCTGATTGACTCCCACTACAGTGTGTTCTCAGTTGACTTTGTCCTCTAGCCTTACGTTATTTCTTCCTGAAAATCTCCTCTCGGCAGCTTTGTTGGCATCTGCAAAGGCCGCTGTGGCACAAGCAATAAAGCAAACCGAGTGAACGCTTCACTTCCTAGCCAGCCACACTCCACTCCAACGGGGCCACCTCTCCCCTCCCCATTCACGTACAGCGCTCATTAATGGCCATGCGATACGCACACCCTAGCAGTCCAGTGACCTGATGATGACTACAGCTGATTCAAGTTTAAGGCTGGAGTTGTGTTGCTGATCGTTGCTGCCTTTTGTGGAGCAGGTCCCTCCAAGGCACCATCAGGTATACGCAGGGACTACTCAGCAGTAGTGCTCATAGTATGAAGCAAAGCAAGCTTGAAAAATTTAGCTCCATCTTAAGACCATAAGAACAGCCCCACTGGGTCAGACCAATGGGCCACTTAGTCAAGTATCCAGTCTCTGCCAGTGGCCAATGCCAGATGCTTCTGACAGTTGGAGGTTTAGATTCAGAGATTCAGAGATTCTAGGACTGGAAGGGACCTCGAGAGGTCATCAAGTCCAGTCCCCTGCCCGCATGGCAGGACCAAATACTGTCTAGAGACAAATACTGTCTAGGTGTTAGAGACACTTGGAGCATGGGGCTGCATCCCTGACCATCTTGGCTAATAGCCATTGATGGACCTATCCTCCAGGAACTTATCTAATTCTGTTTTGAACCCTGTTATAGTCTTGGCCTTCACAACATCCCCTGGCAATGAGTTTCACAAGTTACGTTGTGTGAAGTATTTCCTTTTGTTTGTTTTAAACCCGCTGCCTATTAATTTCATCAGGTGACCCCTGGTTCTTGTGTTATGTGAAAGGATAAATAACACATCCCTATTCACTTTCTCCACACCATGCATGATTTTATAGACCTCTGTCCTATCCCCACCCTTAGTTGTCTCTTTTCTAAGCTGAGACGTCCCAGTCTTTTTAATCTCTCCTCACATGGAAGCTGTTCCACCCCCTAATCATTTTTGTTGCCCTTTTCTGCACCTCTTTCAGTTCTAATCTTGTTCAAGCAATCTACATGGACTGTTCATTAGAGGCCACCCTTCAGTGGTTTAGAAGCTAATATTAGCTAATTTCAAAGCACTGTACAAACATTAAGTAAACCTGATGACTCCCCTTAGGGATAGTTAGGTATAATTCCCATTTTATCGGCACACAGGCTGGGGCTACACTAGTGCTTTAATCTCTAAAATTGTCCAGTTGTCAACACTGGTATAGCTACATCCCAATAGCAACAGTGGGAGCTGTAGCATAGACAGGACTATATGGCTTATGCACTGCTGTCATCTAACTCAGCTCACAGAAGCACTGTACAACTTGGCAGGAGAAACAGTGGGAAATTGTCGGGAAAAGGCCTAGTGTAGACAGAACCACAGAGAGATACTGGATGTGCTCAAGCGCAATGCTGGGATCAGAACACAAGAAGTTCCTTGTTCCCAGACCACATTACTTAGCCCTGCATTCTGCATGTGCCTCTACCTTTGTGTTTCTCATTGAACTTGTTTGTTTGTTTTCCTCTGATGTGTTAGATAATAACAGCCCACTGCTGAAAGCAGTTGACCAGACTAGATGGATCAATGACTTGTTGTGACATGGGAACACTTCTGTTTATTTACTACATGACAATTTCTTTTGTTCATTTAAAAATATAAGCAAAAATAACTTCCCGCTCTCTCAATCTTTGTATTCCTAATCTTGAATTTCTGAATGAACGGAGCTTAATTTATGCAGCGTTGTTGTAGCTGCGTCAGTCCCAGGACATTCAAGAGACAAGGTGGGTGAGGGATCTTTTATTGGACCAACTATGTAGCTCGAAAGCATGTCTCTCTCACTAACAGACGCTGGTCCAATAAAACAGTGTGACTTGTAGTTTTAATCTGAAAAGTGATTAAAATGACATCATGGGGTTCCCTGTTTATTGGGTCTCAAAGACTCAGATCTGCTCGATTTACAGTTGAAAAAAAATCTCCTAATTGCCAGGCCTGTAAATTCCACTTGGGGTCTGAATTTCACGTTGCGCTCTAGCCGATGACATGAGTCAGAACAGAAGCCAGCTCGTTCTCCCACAGCTGCATTGTATAGCTAATATTTCCGGGCTAACAGGAGTTAAGTAGTAGTGAAAACAAAATGTTAGTCAGTACCACAAGCAGATACGACTGAAATGACACAAAGTGCAAATCTAGCGAGCAGGAAGCTACCATTTTTACATAGACCCTCTTCAAACCAGACCTGGATTTCAAGATGAACATTTCAGCAGATTTCTGTACACCATAAAGGCAGAAAATATTACAGCTTTACTCTGCCCTTTTACAAATGTAGATTAATTAGTTAAGGTTTGTAAAGCCCTATGAGTATGAAAAGCACAGCGCTCTGTAAGAGTTAAGTATGATTATCTCACTCTGCACATCTGGATAGGGGCATGGCAGGCAGACCTACAATTGAGAAACACACAGCAGTGAATGATGGGGTGATGACAGATGATCATTTTAGTTAATTCAAGTTTTGTTTGTTTGTAACATCAAAGTACAGAATCATAGAATATCAGGGTTGGAAGGGACCTCAGGAGGTATCTAGTCCAACCCCCTGCTCAAAGCAGGGCCTAGTAGACTATCAACTCTCTAGAGCAGGGGCTGTGTCTTATTGTGGGTATTTACCTGCGAGGTTAGTGACAATGTAAAAGGCTCCTTTCTTCTTTGGAAATATATGTCTGACCCACCCGAGCATGAAATGTCATTTTCAAACCAGAGTTACATCGGTGCTAGGAACCCGGGTCCCAAAGATCCACCTAGGCCAAGGTCACGGTTTTGCACTTTGTAAAACAGCCTCACAAAACCTGGGCCAGAGAAGCACGTGCGGGAAAGGAGAAGTCAGCCCCAGAGAACATTTACCCCGGGCTCCTTCCACCCCCAGGGTGCAAGGCGCTGTACCAAGCCAGGCAGGGCTGTCCCCCCACTTGACAGGGGAAGCAATGGGGCGCAGGAGAAGCCTGGCTCTGTGGTAGCAGCGGCTGCATTTCACCCGGCCGCTCCCCCCGCCCTGCTTCCCGGCCAGCCAGCGTCATCCCCCCGCCTCTCTTTGTCCTTCCCCTGCTCCCGCCCCGTCACCCGGCCTCTGGGGCGGGGCGCGGGCGGGCGGCTCCCGGGCGCACAGAGCCCGATGCGCCGGGAAGCGGAGCGGCCAGCGAGCCGGGCCGGACGGGCACATGCAGGGCTCGGCGCGGAGGCGGCAGTTCCCGCCGGCGGCCCCGGGCTCCCAGCAGCCGGGCGGGTCCTTCTACCAGGGCAGGTGAGCGCGTCCCCGGGCGCCCCGGGAGAGGGGCGGGTGGAGCCGCCGGGCGCCCCGGGAGAAGGGCGGGTGGAGCCGCCGGGCGCCCCGGGAGAAGGGCGGGTGGAGCCGGCCGGGCGCCCCGGGAGAGGGGCGGGTGGAGCCGCCACCAGCGTTGCTACCTTCGCTGGTAGCCCCCCGGCCGAGAAGTCGGTGCCCCTTTTGGAAATGGCTCTCGAGCCCCCTCCTCCTAAATTCTTCACAGTAGCAATTTTTGCCCCATTGCGCGGCCCCGGTCCTGCCTGCGGGCGGTGAGACGAACCGGGCGGGTTCATGGGGCAGTGGGCTAATACAGCAGGGTCTTGTTCACTCTTGCTCTGATTAGCAGAAGTGCAGGCCCTGCTGCACTTTAGTAGCGGTTATTGAATCAGGGGCACTCTCTATAGTCCCCAAGGGCTGGCTGATTCCTCCCGTTCTGCATGTCTCCCATCTTGCCTCATCCACCAGGAAAATGCTCTCCTGCTGGGGGAGGAAACACCACTGCCTTCCTCCCAAAGAACCCTAAATAATCTTTCCGGCATTGCCCCAACACACACTCAGACACCATCACACAGCGCACCCTACCTATAGCCAGCCTAGGATTACACATGAAGCTAGACCAACCTTCCCCTCGCTTCTGCTAGTAAAGTATCAAAAGTAAATCTAAAAGGGGCTTGTGCTTTCCCCTCCTCTGGTTCTGTCACCCTCCTGCCTTTTTCTTCCCAAATACTAGCCACCGTTACTTGTCTGTATACGTTAAATCCTCCTTCCTTGCACTAGAGCTCTTAGATAAAAGTTTGAAAAGTACCTATGTGAATTAGGAGCCTAAGTAGTCACTTGTGCCAATAAGATTTAAGTTCCTAAACTGCTTACTTGCTTTTGAAAATTTCACTCCTTGACTCACTTTTTTACCTTCAAAGTGCCATGGAGGCCTCTGGTACTATGCAGCCGAAGAAGTGGGCTGTAGTCCACAAAAGTTTATGCTCTAATAAATTTGTTAGTCTCTAAAGTGCCACAAGTACTCTTGTTCTTTTTGCGGATACAGACTAATACGGCTGCTACTCTGAAATCTGGTACTATGTGGATAATCTCTTATACAGATACCACCTCCAGTCCGGGGAACGCTCTTGGCAGATAAATTTTGCAACAAAGAAAAGAATCAAGCCCAAGGATCCATACTCCTTCTGTACCCCAGATCTAGTGCCACAAAGGCAGTGTACAGATTGATCTCAGCTAAGCACCTCCTATCCGGGCTGGAGAATGGATGGAAAGGATGGGTCATTTTATGAACAAAGACCTGATCTACACTAGGAAATTAGATCAGGATAATTGTTAAAAAAAGCCACACACCCCTGAGCAACACAGTCAAATTGACCAACGCCCTGGTATAGACAGCTCTAGGTCGACAGGAGAATTTGCCTCTCGGGGAGGTGGAATATCTATGCCAATGGGATAACCCCTCCTGTCAGCATAGGTGGTGTCTTCACCGCAGCACCACTGCAGCCTTTTACATGTAGACAAGCCCCAAGTCTCACAAGACCATAGCTTTTTCTTCTCTAAGGTAGCCATCTCCATTGTGAGCTGGACTGTTAAGAACTAAGCTTCAACATTAGATAATATTTTAGCATTTGATCTCTCAAAACAGTCTCAAGGGCAATAGGTTTCACAACCGTGACATTAATGTAGAGCTGCTATTTACCTCTAGGTGCACAAAGGCCTGATCCCGCTGTTGCATTCAAGGGGGAGACTCCCATGACTTCAGGGGGAGTTGGATCACAAGGCATGCGAACGGGAGTTTGCACAGGCACATGGAGAGAACAATAACCCCTACATTAGAAAATTAAGGTGGACACATTTCCAGCGTCGCACCATTTCTTTTGCCATTCGAGTGTCATTGGGCTGCAAAGCTGCGTGAGCACCTCTGCAGGAGAGAAATTGCTCTCTTGGTAATAGTAAGGCTTTGTCATGCAAAGTTTAAAAACAGTTGTATTTAGTTCGACACTTGTTCCCAAAAAATATTGCATACATGCTTATCTTTAGCCAGTAACATTTTTTTTTTTACAAGAGTTTGTTGCTTTTGATGAATAGTGCTTTGCATTTCTGTACTGCCTGTAATCCAAGGAGTTTAACCTTTGCTTGTTCCTCAGAGCGCAGTTCAGCTGTGTCACACAGCAAAGCGGAAGAGAAGCAGTAGGGTCCAGGGGACAGGGCCCTGAACTGGGTGTCCGTACACCTGGATTCCAGTCCCAGCTTCTCCAGTGATCTGTTGTGTGACCTGGGGTTAGGTGCTTAAGTCAGACATTGGGCACCAGCTGAGCAGTGGTACCTAAAAGTCCCCTAGGCACTTACGCTTCTGCTGGCAGGCATTGCAAAGCCAGCAAAATCCTGATGCTGCCCCCATCCAACAAACTGCTTGGAGCTCTCTCTCTCTCTCTCTCTCACACACACACATCTCATCCCCCGCAGGAGTCTCAAAGCAGGTGTTCCCCTGCAGTGCACACCAACCAGAGCCTTACACAATAAAGACAGCCAGGGAGCTAACAAGCTGGGAATTTTGGGGCATGTCCAGAGTACCCAATGGTTATGGCTCCCAGCGGGGATGTGGGAGACCCAGATTCAAAATCTTGTCCTGCCTGCTGTGGAGCAGGGACTTGAAGCCAGGTCTCTTACCTCCTAAGGGACTGCCCTACCCACCAGGTTATGGGGCATTCTGGGGTGGGTCTCTCCATCTCTTAGTTCCCTTTCCCACACTTTGGGTACGTCTATACTCCCCACCAGATCGGCGGGTAGTGTTCGATGTATCGGGATCGATTTATCGCCTCTCGTCTGGACACGATAAATCGATCTGCTAATCGACGCCCGTACTCCACCTCAGCAGGAGAGCCGCGGCGGTCGACTCGCCGCCGTGAGGACGGCCAGGTAAGTTGAACTAAGATACTTCGACTTCAGCTACACGAATAGCGTAGCTGAAGTTGCATATCTTAGTTCGAACCCGCCCGCTAGTGTAGCCCAGGCCTTTGTCTGGCTTGGTTAGTTAGACTGGAAGCTTTTTGAGGCAGGGACTGTCACTCCACGTGTGCACAATGGAGCCTCCCTCTCCTTTGGAGCCACGTGGTCCTACTGCAATATATACAACATAGAGGACACAGTTACAGCACGGCAAGATTTTTTTGCCAGCTCTTCCACAACCCGTTCCTATCTTATTAAAATGGAGCCTTCTTAAAGTGCAGGACTAAAGGGTATTTTCTTCCCATTACTGTCAAGAAAGTGACCTTCCGGAAACACAAAGGGCTGAGGTTGTCTCTCCTATCTCGTTAATAGGCATGGGTCAGCCAAGAATGAAGATACGTTTAAGACTTCTCAGTTTCATTTTGACCTGTGGTTCTACTTCACTCTACAGAACTGGGTGTTGGACTTTGGCCGTCCAATAGCTATGGTGAGTAGGACAACTTAGCTGGCAGTGCCGGTCAGCTGAGGGCAACGCAAAGGGTGGGAGGATGTAGAAGGAAGAGATGTTGAGCAGTCCAAGGAGCGGTGGGTAAAATTAGTGGAACTATGTTAGCTAAGCACAGAGAATTATCCCTGCACACTGGAACCCCAAGGTCTAAATCCTACTTCTGCCAGAACAACTTAACGTGCATCTTCTCTATTCTCAAGGGAGGTATGCGATGGTCTCTGATTGCGTATCATTGTCATCATGGTGCTATTGCTGTTGCCGCAGTTTCAATGACTGGTGCTAGCTCTACGGCTCACTTGGCAGAGCAGAAACCTCAGAAGTTTGGTCTTATCTCACTACCAGCTTCCCTGCATCAAAATTAAATGGAGAGGCTGGCAGCATCCGTCACTAATACACAGTACATTGTGCTCACCTCCAAGAACTGCCATGTCAGAGAGAAAAAAATCCCAACTATCTATTATGGCTGAAGGGTTTTCACTTTCAAGCTGTAATTTTTTTGTTGGGCTACATGATTGAAGATGACCCAAGTGTCGGATACAGGAAGCCTGCAGCGTGTACTAAATAAACAATGGATTCTGAATGGGGTTCTTAACAACTGGCCACACAAATTAACAGCATTAGCTTTTGGCATTGTTGCAGGAGTAAGTGGATGAGGAGGGAAAGAGCAGTGTGTTCTCATCTTATTTCAAAGCTCCAATTTTAGGGAGGCTTAATATAAATCAGAAAACGTCTCTGGAAAATTGACAGTCAACTGGCTTTACTTCATTAACAGCTAGGCAAAGCCAGGACAGCCAGCTGGCTAACAAATCAAGCCACAGCAACTGGGATGTGACTGCAGACCAAACTCATTCTCTTTCTCGCAATCACTAAACATTCAGGCAGTCACCGTGGGCTGCAGATGTTTTGATAAGTTTGAAATGTCATGCAATACTTGTATTTAAATCCGTTGCCTGCTCTACTTACAGGCGAGGTATTCAAAGGCTTACTGACATTTTGTTTTTCTTCTCTCCTCAGATTATTCTACCTTTAGAGTGGTTTCCATTAAACAAACCTAGTGCAGGAGATTATTTCCATATGGCTTACAATGTTATTACACCATTTCTTCTTTTAAAGGTAAACCTCAAAGCCTGGACGTTACATTTTTGAAACAAACACTGGGTATGGGCAAAACTTGCAAAGACAAGAGGTTTTGCTGCAGGAATTCTTGAGGGAGGGTATGCAAATTCAGAAATCGCTTGCCAGAAGCCAGTTCCACCCAGGGTAGAACTACTCTGAAATGCTTATGGGGGGAAAAAATGGTGGTTTTTAAAGAACAAGACGTTAACCAGCCTGAGAGAACTGTAAAGTTCATTTGTCTTCTGACCTGCTGAGGCTAGAAATGTTTTTAGCGGATGGGTAGAAATGGTTTCATTGTCAGTAACTTGTCCAAGTCCCGGGCCAATGATCAGGGACAGATTTGATCCTTTCATCACTGTGCGGGGGTAGCACTTCTCATTCTTACTCATTTCCCCGCCTATCATGAACTGTACCTCCAGGTTGGTTTCTCCTCTGCCTGTTCATAGGAACATACAAAGTGCCACACTGTATCACATCCATGGTCCCATGAGTTCAGTAGCCTGTCTCTGACAGTGGGCAAAATCAGAAGTTTCAGTGGAAGGTTTCATAGATTTAAGGCCAGAATGGACCATTAGGATTAGCTCTAGTCTGACTTCCTGTAGAACACAAACCAGAGAGAGTCAGCCAGTAATGTCTGCATCAGGCCAATAACTTCTAGGTGAACTCAAGGCATCCCGTCTTGAGATAAGACTTCAGGTGTTGGAGAATCCACCATATCCAGAGGTTAATTGTTCCAGGGGTTAATTACCCAAATGGGGAAAAGTTTGCATCTTGTCTCAAGCCTGAATTTTTCTAGCTTTAGCTTCCAGCCATTGGATCATATGTAGGGTTACCAGACAGCAACTGTGGAAAAACAGGATGGGGGTGGGGGGTAATAGGTGCCTATATAAGAAAAAGCCCCCCAAAACAGGACATCTGGTTACCCTAATCATATGTCTTTGTCAGCTACGGTAAAGAGCCCTCTACTCTCAGAAAGCTTCTCCTAGTCAGAACACGCAAGTAGGCAGTTTCTTGCTCACCGTTATTAGTTAGAAATTGAATTATGCCCTGGAGTGAAGGGTTTATCCCTTCCAAAAAAAATATTTTGGAAATCCTTACCTTGGATATGTGTGTTATTCACACCAATGTCCAATCCCTTTCTGAATGCTGTTAAGCTCTTGGCTGCAATGGTAGCTTGTGGCAGAGAGTACCATAGGGTCGCAAAGCATTAGGTGAGAAAGTATTTCCTTCCATCAGTTTTCACTTTCTGGCCTTTCAGTGTAATTGGATTTCCTCTTGGAATTTTATGAAAGGATGACTAGGAATGCCCAACCCAGCGTCTCTAGGTCATTCATTATTCAGTATACCTTTATCTCTCATTTGTCTTCTACATTACAGCCCCATCTTTTCCATCTCTCTTTGGACGGAAGATTTTTGCTCGGCTCTTATTTGTGTTGCTCACCTCTGAACCCCTCTTTCGGATAGCCATAAAGTCATTATAAAAATCAATTGAAAGCTAAGCTTTGAAAAGAGATTGTCTTGATTATTACTATCAAAACACTTCTGCTCAGAAGCTTATTATTGGCAGCAGAGAAAAGGGCAGGCAGAAGACCATGGTAGCTGATTTTCCAAGCTAGGAAGGAGGACACAGCCAGAGCTGTGGAGCCGATCAGCTGTGTTTCCATGTGAAGCACCCTTATCAAGACTAGTCTTGAGAACTGACCTGTGCTGGAGAGTTTAGCTCTTCAACCAGCACTAGAGAGAAGCCGAGAATGCTTTCAGTCAGGAAGAGAAATTGTTCCAAAAGTCAGTCGGATTTGCAGTCACACCAATGTTTTCATTTAGACCCATGACCTCAGTGTCCCAAAGCATTGCAGGTCAAATTAATACAGTCTGTCTAGAAGCCTCCCTCCTGTAGAAGCCACGGATAATCCAATTTGGGGTGTTCGTGCTGCTCTGAAGTCTCTGTTACTGAATTGTCCTTTCTGGGGTGAAATTCACCCTGGGCAGAGGACCTGCACAAGATGCTAGTGATTGCCCCACCCAGGGATTGGGCCATAAGAGCTTGAGTAGAATACACACATGGTCGTGGGCAGGTTCCCACACAGAGGAGAATTTCACCCATAAAGTTCAGCTTGGCTACTGGTGGCAAAGGGTTATTGAAGTCACCAAGCAATTTGACATGGTGCTTTGATTTTACCCGTACATTAGTGCAGAGTAAAGGAAGCGTCGCCTTCAGAAACAACTAATAACCTGAAGTACAGAGAAAAATGAGTCCAACTCCTTAGAACACATTCCAGCAGAGGGTATAGTCCAGCAGACATCTGCTCTAATTGAAGGAGGAGTTAGAGCATCATACAGTAACTTGGAGCATTGCTGGAGGTGCCACTCACCACTGGAGGGCACAAAGAGGCTTTCAGACAGAATCATTATGCTACTCGGAGCAGGAACAACAGAAAGCCACATCCGTTTTTCTTCTAAGGAATCAGGCTTCTGCTCATGGCTGATGAATAAATCAATTGCGTTGAGTACTATTTTGTATCGTTGACTTAGTCGCGGTGCTGGTGCAGTTAAGGACGGGCAGTCAGGTTTGAGGCTAAAAATAAGGTGATTTATTTACAATTTTTATAGGGAAAAAAAATCAGTAAAACCCGTTTCTTGGTCCCCTGAGCTATCTGCATCCCTGATACGGCAATGGGGGAAGTTAGGAAACAGCTTCTCCTCTGGGTAGGGGATTCTATAATTGTCCAGTAGAAGATGCAAGGAATGCCTCCGGGGAGCATCTGACAGGATACGGGGCTGGACGGACCCTGGCTCGGATCTGCTCAGGCGACATACAGTTTGCAACGTTGTATAGAATGACTTGCTTGTTGGGGATGATTTTGGGGGGGAGGGGATGGGACAAAGACTTAAAGTTGGCATTTTCCAGTAGCTAGAATCGATCATGTTTTATTTCCCCTCTGTTTCTACCTTCTGCTTCCTGGTTCAGACACCCTTAACCAGCCCCTTGAATTGCAGCTCATTGAAAGGTCCCCGAAGACCCTGCCCAGATCAGTGGTCTACGTCAGCATCATCGTGTTCGTCATGGGAGCGAGCATCCATTTGGTGGGCGACTCCGTCAACCACCGTTTGATTTTCAGCGGGTACCAGCACCACCTGTCCGTAAGAGAGAACCCAATCATCAAAAACCTCAAGCCGGAGACGCTGGTAAGGACGCTTGGGTGTGCAGCAGCATTTGTTTTAAACAACCTGTTTTTTGTATACTGTGGTGCCGCCCCCGCACGCCTTTCTAACCCGGCTTCGTTCCGTTGCAGATTGATTCTTTTGAGCTGCTGTACTACTACGATGAATACTTAGGGCATTCAATGTGGTAAGTGATTTACAGCGTGTCTGATAGCCGCAGAACGTAGCAGGAAGTAAACCTGGTCGATAAAGCGCACAGTCTAGGAGACCTGGTTAGAGTACATTCCTAGAGCAGGTGCCAGTAGCACAAGTCATCCCCTTGGAAAACTGCCCCAGCCATTTTCGCTCTGTCCCTGTCACTTCCCCGTCCACAATTCCAGACCACTCGGTGCTATTGACAGCAGGAGGACTCTGTTCAGAGCCAGGCTGTTATCTATGGAGAATGAGCACTTGGAGCCTTTGAAAGGGGCACTGTGTAGGGCTCTCAGGACGAGGAACATCCTTGCAGGCACAAGTCAGCATTCTGCAGGCTCGCGGTCTCTCCTCTTTTTCCCCTTTCAAGGTTCTTCCACTGAAGGAGTGTCCTACTGGGGCATGTCTACACTGAAGTTAGACTCCTGCGGCTGGCCTGTGCCGGCTGGCTCGGGCTTCCGGGGCTCGGGCTGCAGGGCTGTTTAATAGCAGTGTAGACATCCAGTGGAGTCCAGCCTCTAGGACCTGCGAGATGGGAGGGGTCCCAGAGCTCAGGCTGCAGCCTGAACCTGGAAGTCTGCCCAGCAATGAAACTGTCCCGCAGCCTGAGAGGGCCGGCACAGGCCTACTGCGGTTTATAATTGCCGTACCCCTTAGTGAATAAGGCTGGACTTCGCTCCTTCAGCTGGGTCTCCCCAACCCGGCTCCGGCCAGGGGGTGGCTCAGAACCACAGTCCGACCACGATAAGAGCCGGGCGGGCAGCTGTGGGGAGCCGTGGCGGACCCTCCATCTGCCCTGGTCATGGGGCCCAAGCAGCCCCCGGGCCCTGTCTCTGCTCCCCAGGCCCTCCACCCAGGGCAGGTGGAGGATCCGCCGCGGCTCCTCACAGCTGTCCACCTGCTCTTACCGTCAGAGCCCTGCATCTGCCCTGGTATCTGCAGTAATGGTCCACGGATATCAAACGGATCCCTGCGGATTTGCAGGGCTCTAGATACGAGTGAGGGAAACGGTCACTGCTCTGTGTGCATTTCGTCCCGGCAGTAGATTTTAGCATGGATCCCATAGTGTCTCTACTACAAAATGGCATGAGGTCTTCTTGGCCATTGCAAATATAAATACTTTCACCCACAAGCTATTGTCACGTCCCTGCAGTGCTAGTTAGGGCTGGATCTGTGAAGCAAACTCAGTTTGTCTTAATAGGGAACACAAGTCAGCTGTGTTCCGAGGCTCATTCAGTGCGTTTAAACCCCAGACTGGCGATGCCCAGCGTTTGAAATGCCGTCTTTCCAAATGGCTCAATTTTTTAATAAAGTCCCTACGCATCCTATCAAGCCAGACAGTGCAAACAATGCAAGTGTTAGATGCGGAACTTGGATCCCTTACTAATCAGCAATTTCTTGCTTGTCCTTTAGAGGCAAGGAAGTCTGTTTTCCTTTGAAAGCACTGTGCACCCCCCCCATACACAATAGCTCAGTGCGAGGCGTTCCCGGCCCTTTGCATCTCTTATCCGCACAGCTGTAATCATGTGGCTACAGCTGTGACCATAACAGACAGGGCTGTAGCATTACAATCAGCACAGTAGCATGACCCTGAATGCAGACCGCGCCTTCCCAGTGGTGCAGAGTTTCCCGTGAGCCACTTCAGCACAGGCCTTGGCCAGTTCATGGGTTCACCAGAAATGGCCCCCGTTAGCCTCCCTCCCTAATTTGGTTTGCCAAAAGGATTGCTAGGTTTGATGGAGGGGATTAGCTGAAGCTAGCCGGATCTGAGGCCAACCTGTAGCTGCAGAGTAAAGGGTTTCAGCCCTTGTGAAAAGCCTCAGAACTAGGTTCAGGCTCCGACATGGAGAACGGCTCATCAGCCGTGTCTACGCGGCTGTTTTTAGCCCCCGAGCGCGAGCCCCACCAGCCGATGTCTCTAGCTTCTGGCTCTGAGTTGCTGCGTGGGTGGGTTTGCAGTCTAGACGTACCCTGTGAAAGGAGGAGTCCCATGTCGGTCTCCAGCTGGTATGCTAGAATGGGGTTTTCATTACTAAGGACCTGACCACAGCTTTCTTCTCCTGGCACAGGTATATTCCTTTCTTTCTCATACTCTTTATATATTTTACCGGCTGCTTCACACCCATTCAAGAAGAGAGCAGAATGCCATTAGCCGCCTTGCTCCTTACGGGGCCAAGCAGCCTTTATTACTGGTAAGTTAGCTAAGCTCCAGGTACAGGTAAGGGACATAGAAAACTAGTGGGTGTTTGAATAATGATACAAGTGACTACATGGCTCGGAGACTAGATAATGGGAACCTAGCTGGTCCAGTAACTGGCACTACAGAAATAAAACCGCCTCTCTATGAGATTGTGGAACTTTTCCCATAAAATCTACTGCCCATCTGCTCCGAAATCTAAACCTTTTTTTAAGTTGGTAGCCCTTATGGCTGCACAGAAAACTTCTCAACTCTGATCCAGATGGGAATAGATGCAGTTCCTCTGTCTGAGTTATCAAACCCCTGGATGGTGTGAGCAAGAGCCCTGCACGGGACTGTTTTTTTAATCCCACTCCTACGCACTCTCTCATTGTTTCTTGCATTTTTATTCCACTCCCACCTGCAAAAACCTTCGATCCTGCAAGAGAGAGACAGATTCCCCCCTGCTACTTTCAAAAATAAAAATAAAATAAAGGTCGGTTAATGTATTATACACACCAACGGAACGCAGACACAATTTTTACCACTCAAAGAATAAAACAAATCCTGCTTAAGCCATGTAAAAAAATACTTGAACTCATTAGGATAGATATCAAATCTCTTTCTCTCCCTCAGTTTAAGTATTAAAACCTTTATTTAAAAAAGAAAATCTTGCTTGACACTGCTGACATTTTATTTATGCCCTTTTCTTCTCAGTGACTGTTGTCTCTGAAACCTAAGGATGGCCTTTGCTGATCATTTTAGCAAAAGACGTCCAGTTAATGTGCTTATCCACAATTCCAAACCCTCCATAGCTGCCCAGTCCCCAGCTGCCAAAACCACCAGTTCCTCCTTGTCACCTTCTGTAGTGCCATTGTGTGTTTTCAGGCCAATCTTCATTACTCTATGGGAAAGGTAGGGGGCAGCCTATATGAATGCAACAGCAGCGTCTGTTCTCATAAATGTAATTCATCTACATGTTAGTTCACTATGAGCCAGCATTTTCATGCAATTCATCTCCATGCAATTCATCGGAGCCACTGGACCCACAAGGAGACACTTCTACAGAACCTCTTGCCCCATGTCGCAATCTTGAGTCATGCTCATGAGCAAAAGCCACCCCTACGTGTCTCCCTCCAATTCATTGAGGGAACCGGCATCGACACCACTCAGAAAACCTCCATCAGTTGGTACCTACATTAGTCACCTTAGCAAGGCGGCCAAGGGATGAATAGATGTGGAGCCTAAACTATCCACTCGGCCTGAGACGTGCCCCGCAGAGCGGGGTTGGAGGCACGCTGGTGGGCCTCATATCACCTATTCTGGGGACAGAGGCTCTGGGGCAGGCACTGTTCAGCGCTCTGGTGGGAAAAGCAAATTGGTGGATGCGGTGGGGGAAATGAAAATTCCTTTACCATGAGATGCCATGGAGAAGTCGGCATTCCTGGCAGACAGAGCTGGCCAGGAGGAGCTTAACAAATGACTCAGCATCCGGGGCCTGCGTTCTGCATCAGAACCTTTGCTTTGGAGCTAGCGGGCGGTCAGTCACCTCTCCTTCCTAAGGGCAGCTTGCATCACCACTTGGGATCCGAAATACACCATCTCTCCCCCCGGAGGGTCTGGCTGCCCTGCCACTGGGAGTGAGCCTTGCAGCCCAGCTAGACAGACTCAAACCGGCACACCAACAATAGCTTGGCCGTGCCAGCTCAGGCTGGCAGGCCTTTGGGGCGTTAGGGGGTCTTGAGAACCCGAGCACCAGCCTAAGTTGCAGTGTCCACACGACTATTTTTAGCAGGCTAGCATGAGTCTGTCTAGCCAGGCTGGGAGACCTCCTCCCACTGCTGTACACAGTTACCCTGAGACGTTGCCCATGTACTATACCAGACTTTCGGGTCAGCAGCTGATTCCAGCCTACACCATACATTTGCCTGGTTAGCATGAAAAACACTGAATGCTACTTCACCATCCCCTAGGAGTATTGACGTGAGATATTATGATCTCTCGACTTCGGATGTTCTGCCTTGATTTGATTTGCCGTATGTAGAGCCTGGAGCGCACTGTATTCCATGCAACTTCTAGGAATATTCACCTTTCCTGTGCAAGTCAAGCAACCGTATTTTAAGTTATTTGTAATAATGGAAATCCCCTGTGATCAGTCATCTAGGCTTTTTAATATATAAATCAAGCCCCCTTCATCTGCATGCTGCTCTCCAGCCTCCTTAGCCGGAATAGCCTTTGGAGAGAGGGCTTATTTATTTCCCATTTTCATTATTCTCCTCTTTCCAAACGCTTTCCCTGATGGCCGCCAAGCAGCTTGTCATTTGTCTTCAGAGATTATGTTCTCTTATCCAGATCTCTGCCCCCTGCCAAGATTGTATTTCATACACTAAATTAATTTTTTATAGTCAAATCAGCTTAATGATTTAGCCAACTCCGTTACCCCATTCTAATTTCCTTTAACTACATCAGCTTGGAGTTCTGCAATTCATGTTCTTATGTGTATTTAGGAAAGGAAAAGATTTAAAGCCCAGGGGAGCTTAATTCCTTCGCTTCTCCCTCCTCCCAATTCCCTTTTTGGTTCAGATCTCAGTAAGCAGTAACCCATTTTATGATTCTGGTTTGGCTCTGTCCTGCCTGTCCCACTGTGATCTGTTAATAAATAGCTGTTCTATAAAGCCTCCAGTTAGTTTCCAATTTTCCTAATTCACTTTCCTGACATCACTAAGTCTCTCCTGGACCGTAGTACATAGCATCATATTGATTCACACCAAGAAACAGGGCATGACTAGATAGGAGAGATATGGAGCACTATAAATGCCAAAAAAAAAGTTGGATTTATGGCATTCATGAAAAATGCCAGCCACCCATTTTAAAAAATAAACTTCTACCTCTAGTGGCCCAACCCTCTACAATTGCTAGTGCCTTGTCTATCCTGGGGTCTTTGCACTGATGAGACCACAGCAGTGCAAATCCTCGTGTATACGTGATGCACCAGTGTAAGTCTGGTGCACTGGTATGATCTGCTCTGCTAAATCACACTGGGGCAAGATCTGTCTGCAGAGGTGCAGCACATCTGCATGAGGGGTTTGCATTGGAGTGACTGCCTCACGATGTAAACACTGGGGCCTAGTGGATTGAGAATAAAACTGGGACTCAGGATTCCCAGCTCAGCTACTGGTTTCCTGGGTCCTTGGGCAAGCCACTTCCCATCTCTGTGCCTCAGTTTCCCCATCTGTAAATGGGGTGAATGCTATCTCCGTTGTAAAGCTATATAAGAGGAGATATTTTTATTGTAATATAGTTACAGTGGTGCCAATTTCCTTAATCTAGACAAGTCCCAAGTATAAAGTGTCCTATTGAACCTCCCAGCCAATCAGCTTCTGCCCTGCGCGTTTCACCCTCACTCATCCGTCATGTTGAAGCTAGAATCTAGTCAGGTGGGAAGAGAGATGGCCAGTTTTAAAACCACACTCTGAACAAGGTGGGCAAACACATTGAGTTACTTATAGTACCGGTTACAACTTTGGGTTATTAAAACAGATTTAAAAGATATAGTTTTCTAATTTCCACATTGAGAATTACCCTGACAAATGTAAAGACGCAGCCCTGCAGCTAAGTTTCATTTTGGCTGAACAAACTGTCTAGGTGCGTAAGGTGGAAAGAGTTTTAAAATTTACCTTTGAGAATTTATGCGGCTCGGACTCTCCCTCACCTTGGCCAATGAAAGTTAGTTACTGTCAAGTTCCCGGCGTTGCAATGGCATGAGGGAATGTTTATTTGAAAACATCTGTTCATGTATGAAATATAGGGAAGAGGCATGAGGCAGTGGTCTGAGCATGAGACTAGGAGCCAGAAATACTCCACTCTGATACAGACTTCCTCTGGGGAAATCCCGTAATCCCCTGCCTCAGTTTCCCCTGGAGTACATAATACCAGTTACCGTGAGGATTAATGTTGGTAAAGGGGAAGATTTTCCAAAGGTACAAGACACAGGTAGCTGCTCAGCTCCCACTGAAAGTCCCAAGTCTCCCCCCAAAGTGCTTTTCATCCATCAATAGCTATAGATGGGCTAAGAATTATTCCTGCTACGTGATCACAGGGCACTAATGATATTTTTGCATTGTAGGTATCTTGTGACAGAAGGTCAGATTTTCATCCTCTACATTTTTACGTTCTTTGCCATGATGGCTTTAGTCATGCACCAGAAACGGAAAGGCCTGGTCTTGGACAGCAATGGACTCTTCCTCTTCTACTCTTTCATTATTACATTGGTCTTAATTGGCGCTTGGGTGGTTTGGCTGTGGAATGACAAAATCCTCAGGAAGAAGTATCCTGGCGTCATTTACATTCCAGAGCCCTGGGCCTTTTATACCTTACACTTGAGCAATCTCCATTCGGCAAAGGAAGGTTTTTAAGCGGCGATATCTTTGGAGTGGTTTGCAAACAGATCTCTCGCTTTTCCTGATATGGGTGTGTTTCAAATCAGTTACTGACCATGGCAGCTGGACCGCATGCTGTTCGCTAACCCGACCCGGGGGCAGAGGTTTGTTTGAATTGGAGGGGAGGCGTTAAGTCTGCTGGGAAATACTTGCACTACTGCGTTGTAAATTACTTTCCCAAGCTGCCGTTTGACGCGTTCTAGTTTGCGTTGAGTGCAGGTACGTAACTGACCTTGGCGGGAACACTGAGATTCCAGTCGGTACCCGAATGGCATAGTCCTGTTGTACCGTAAAACTTCGTCCTAATGTAGCACACGATGGGGCATTTCCCCCCAGCCTTCCCTTTCTGAGCTGAACGGGGGAACGGCTCTCATTCCTGGAACTCTGGAAACATGCCATGCAATGACTTCAGAGCAGCGGTTCTCAAACTGGGGGTTGGGACCCTATTTTAATAATGTCATTGGGGCTGGCGTTAGACTTGCTGGGGTCCAGGGCCAAAGCCCGAGCCCCATCATCTGGGGCCAAAGCTGAAGCCCTGGGTGGCAGGGCTCAGGTTACAGGCCCCCTGCCTGGGGCTGAAGCCCCAGGTTTTGGCTCCCCCCAGCACAGGGCAGCAGGGCTCAGGCTTTGCCTTTGGCCCTCCTGCCCAGGGCAGCGGGAGCTTGGAGGAGCTCAGGCTTTGGTCCCCTCTCCTGGGGTCGTGTAGTCATTTTTGTTGTCAGAAGGGGGTCGCAGTGCAGTGAAGGTTGAGAACCCCTGCTTTAGAGAGCTCGTCCTCTGAGCCTGGCACAGCCGAGCGATCCAACATCTTGGCACGGATCATTGTGGGCAAAATTCATCCCCACCTCCCATACTACATACACAAAGACATCGAGTAAGGGGCCACATGGGGCTTGGAGCGGGCAGGGCAGTTCAACCTACACTTGGTAGCTGCTATTCCAGCCTGGAATAGGGGCTGCAACTGTGAGTGCCACTTACACCGGGGTCATGGGCACATTCTCCCCACCCCCACCCATGCACTAGGGTCTGCTATTGGGCACAGTGAATGTTAACTGAGAAAGTGAAACTAAGCATCTTTGCATAAGTAAGTTACACATTCCCCAGCTGCTTTAAAGCAGAGACACCCGCCCCCCCCCTCCGCCCCCCAACATGAACCAGGAACCAAAGAGCAAACGCGTTTGGCGGCTCACGGCGTTTCTGATCACGGATGGCCAGCGGGTTAGGAGTTAAGGGATAGCGCCCCCGGGATCCTGCTGCCATGCACGGGGACTCTCGCGGGCTGGCTTTAGTTCCCCCTGCCCATTGTGGGTTTGGACTTTGCGACTGTGCTGAACACTCTCAGAGCGGGAGACCTGCTAACACCACAGCAACAAGGGGCAGGACGGACTGATCAGACCACCCCGAGCTAGGCAGGACTGGGGGCTAGAGGGGCCTGCACAAAGGGTTAAAACTCCTCCCTGCACTAATGACCTGGCTCACACACCCTTCCCTTGCCAAGCTATTTCCACCCCCTCACCCCAGTCTTTCCCCCCAGCCCAGCTGCTCCCCACACATTTGTTCTCCTGGGTCTTTCCTTTCCTCTCACTCCTCTCCCTTCATCCTCTTCCCAGGCAGGAGGCCGCTGGTATCTGGCGTGGTTTCTTTCTCAGCTCCCTCCTGGACCATGGCATCCCCCAGAGGGAGGATAAGGGGCTGAAGGTCCTACCTCCTATGGGGATTGGGGCTGCAGCAGGATTCTGTCTGCACCCCTCCCCTCTCCCACTGCTGCCTGCTTACTCTGCTTGTGTTGATTGGCAGGTGCCCTTCAGCTGTTCCCCACGGACAATACGTCACTATAGGCTTAAAAATAGTACTGGGTTTGAGGAAACGCCTGCCCCGTAGCCCTCTGTAACTTGTCAGGATAGTCACAACTACATTAGCTGGCCAAGTGCGTCGCTTCGACTCAGTGAGAATTTCATCAATAGCTTTTACTAGATTCCTGTCTCTGGACAGGACCGGAGTAGCCAGGGCTAGGCCAGGGATCCTTTTAATCTCCCCTCCCACCCAAATTCCTACCTTCGTTTCCTCACTCTCAGGATATACAGTATTAATGCAGACTTTGATTTCCCTTCCTGGAAGCCTTTAACTAAATAAAGCAGGAATGACCCAGCCCTGCTCCGGTTTTAACCTACCTGCAGCCGAGACAGACGTCGATGCATATCTGCCAATTCTTCAGCATATCCCCTTCCCTCTCAGCACAGCACGGGGCTCGCCAATCCTGCCAGGTTCCGAGCGCCATCCACATCCACTGGTAGCGGCGAGCCTTGGTGATCTCTAGTGCCGCGCAGGATTCAGACCAAAGGGTCGGTCTCTGCAGCGTCCTTGCTCCGCAGAGCTGAAGGAAGACTCATTTTGCTGGCAGGGCAGCTTGCAGATAACGCTGTGATTTTAAGTGGGCAAACCTGCGAGAATCAGAGACGCAGAAGTCAGTTCTTGTACCTGGCAGCTGGGAAGGTTCTGCATTTCTTTTCAGGCGACCTGAAATGAGGCCTGTTCAGCGACTGCCAGACTTTCAGTTGAATTTGGCAGCTTGTCAAGCACAATCTAATGACCCCTTGAGTGGACCGTGTCTATGTAAGTGTAGAATATACTTGACTTTGGTGAATCACCCACGTTCCTCCATTACTTTTGCATGCTACATCCAGTCTGGTGTCGGTAGCTCCTTATGTCCTTTGTAACACAACTCACTAATTCTCTTCTAATACTCAGGTAGTGAACACTTAATGCAATATGTGTGCAGAATCTTTTTGAACTAAAGCTGGTTTTTACCTCCTGGAATTCTTTGGCTAAATCCTTGTTATTTATATCAGTCACATCGTATTACACCCTAGTGTGGCACAACCCAAGTGTAAAATGAAGTGTTCTCCACAAAACGAACCCCAAAATAAAAGCATTTGCGTATGGCTGGAAGTAGTTATTGAACTAGTTCTGTCCTTTATGGAAGGTGGGTGCCCAACTGGTTGGAAAAAGCACACACAGTGGTGGTTTCAGAGTAGCAGCCGTGTTAGTCTGTATCCACAAAAAGAACAGGAGTACTTGTGGCACCTTAGAGACTAACAAATTTGTGGTTCACAGTCAAGCAGGAAGGGCATATTAAGTGGAATCCCCCAGGGATCAGTCCTAGGTCTGGTTCTATCCAATATCTTCATAAATGATTTGGATAGTGGCCTAGAGATACACTTATAAAGTTGGCAGACGATACCAAGCTGGGAGGACTTACAAGCACTTTGGAGGACAGGATTAGAATTCAAAATGATCTCAAACAAACTGGAGAAATGGTCTGAAATAAATCGGATGAAATTCAATAAGGACAAAGGCAAAGAGGAATAATCAATTGCACAAATACACAGACAAAATTGAGATGACTGCCAAGGAAGGAGTAGTGCAGAAAAGGAACTGGGGGGTCGTAATGCATCACAAACTAAATAGGAGTCCACAGGGTAACATTGTTGCAAAAAAAGCGAACCTCACGGTATTAGCAGGAGTGTTGTAAGCAATACATGAGAAGTAATTCTTCCACTCTACTCAGTACTGATAAGGCCTCAACTGGAGTACTGTGTCCAGTTCTAGGCACCACACTTTGGGAAAGATGTGAACAGATTGGAGAAAGTCCAGAGGAAGACCACAAAAATTATTAAAGGTCTAGAAAACATGACACAGGAGGAAAGACTGAAAAAATTGGCCTTGTTTAGTCTGGAGAAGAGAAGACAGAGGGGACACGATAATGGTTTTCAAGCACATAAAAGGTTGTTACAAGGATGAGGAAGAAAAATTGTCCTCAACCTCAGGATAGGACAAGAAGCAATGGGGGAGCAGCAGCAGCAGTCAACTCACTGCGGTAAGTCGAGACACCGCGGTAAGTCGATCTAAGTACGTCGACTTCAGCTACATTATTTACATAGCTGAAGTTGCGTAACAGATCGATCCTCCCTTCCCCCTCTCCCCCCCAGTGTAGACCAGGCCTGAGAGTCTTACAATGTAAGTGGGTAACATATAGGCAAAGGGAGAGGCAGATGCTCAGAGTCACTCTTTTGCAGGTGAAACACCAAACCATTTAGTATATTCAGATCCTGCCCACGATGCCGTATGTAGCCTGACATGCTAGAAACATCAGGCTTCTGAGGGTTCCTTTAGACTGGTTTGAAAATCTTAGCTGGATGGATAACGACCAGCCACATTCGAGGTCTTAAATTCCTTATCACTTAAGAGTAAGGGGGGGGGGGGGGGGAGAGAGGTGTAGCCAAGAGCCAGTTGAAAATGTTGCTTAAGTTTTTTCAACAAAAAACTGCTTTTTGAACAATACAAAACAGCGTCTCAGGCGATTTCTGTATCCTTCAAACTCCCATTTTTCCACAGACCAATTAAAAACTAATCATTTTAAATATGGGGTTTTTGCCCTTCTCCGGCGCTGGAGGGGGACAAAACATGGAAAAACTTGCATTTTGATTCCATCCGGTTTGAACAGAAATACATGTTTGGTTTCAAGTTTTTATCAAAAAGTTGGGAAAAAAACAAAAAATTGAACTTTTTTGTTCAAAGTAATTCCTGTTTTTCAACCAATCCTGAGACTGTAGCTTTGTGTGTTTCTTTACAATGTATAGTAAAGGCCTGGACATAGATTCCCCCCCCCTCTTCAATCTTTTTTCTGACCCCTCCCCTCATATTATAAATATATATTTCTCTCTTAGGAATATATCTATGGGTTTTCCTAAGCAGAGAGCTGGGAAAGCAACTTTCAATCCTGAAGGATGTTTGCTCCAAGTGGTTTAATTAAATAAATATTAAAACTCTTGTCTGTTTTAAACAGTCTCAAAATCACTTCCCCTTTCTCTGATGTCAAATCTACTAACTCTCCAGACTTCCACAGGCAGATAAGACCTGCCGCCTTTGCAAGGTTTAACAAAACAAAACCAAGCACATCTTTCAATCCTCCTTTATACACCATAAAAGCAGACAAGACTAATTCTAGTCACCTTTTGAACAACTGGCCAGTCGGGATATAAACATTAACATCTTTTACAGAGCAAAACCTGTTGCAATTTGCTCATAGAGCGCACAATTCAAAAATTAACTTCCTCGCTTGCCCAGCAGCAAAACCCTATCAAGAGTGAATTATTATAAATAAATACCCCCTTCTGTCCCTTCTAAACAACCTCCTTAGATATTAGTGATTCTGTGGGCTTGTCTCTAAGTGTTGGTATTTAAGCACAGCATGAGGTCCATT